GGAGCGTCGTCTTCATCGGCGCCACCACCGAGAACCCTTCCTTCCATTTGATCACTCCGTTGTTGTCTCGTTGTAGGGTTTTGACCCTAAACCCCTTGGAACACCACCACATCACCACCCTCCTCAGGCGCGCCGTGTCCGATCCCATAAAAGGACTGGCATGCGGCTTGGGCCCGCAAGGGTCGAAGCTCGAGGTGAACGATGACGTCATCGAGTTCCTCTCGAGCCAGTGCGACGGAGACGCCAGGGTCGCGCTGAACGCCCTGGAGAACGCGGCGGTAGCCGCGTTCTCCAGACCGCGACCCTCTGTAGACCTGCTCGTCACCGTCGACGACGCGAAAGAGGCTTTGCAATGCAAGCACTTGGCGTATGACAAGGCGGGTGACGAGCACTACAACCTCATAAGCGCGCTCCACAAATCAATGAGAGGAGGCGACGCGGACGCGTCCGTTTATTGGTTGGCGAGGATGTTGGAAGGCGGGGAGAACCCGCTATACGTGGCCCGGCGTTTGGTTCGGTTCGCGAGCGAGGATGTCGGCCTAGCGGACCCCACCGCCCTTTGCCAGGCCGTGGCGTGCTATCAAGCGTGCCACTTCCTCGGGATGCCCGAGTGCGACGTGAACCTCGCGCAATGCGTGGTGTACTTGGCACTCGCCCCGAAGTCAGTAACCGTTTACCGAGCGTTGGGGGAGGCGACGAGGGTGGTGAGGGAGTCGGTGGGGCGCAACGAAGGGGTGCCCCTACACTTGAGGAATGCACCAACAAAGCTGATGAAGGATCTTGGGTATGGGAAGGAGTATGTGTACACCCCGGACGATCCGGATGCACCGCAGACATTTTTGCCCCCTTCTCTTCTGGGCTATAAGTTTCTGAACTTGCCATAGTCATGGGAGGCGGAGGATGGGATTTTAACAGTTCAAGAAGGACTTTGAGTTCTCTTCTAGTCTAGGAAGAGATATTTGAACCATTATTTTTGGCTGTTTTTTTGTTGTTGGAACCTTTTCCCATCTGTGCTATTTTGTGAGGTAACCTCTTCTCATCGAGGAAAATCAAGTGTATTGTATTTATAACTTTTACTAGTTTTAACCCCATGGACAATCCTAAATTTTAACATTTATATAATGTCGAATTTTCACTAAATAGTACTAAAACATATGTTCTTTTTCAATGTAGTACTTAAATACTTTTATTTCTTAAATAATATTTGAATAATGTCGAGCGACGGGAATAATGTCCAGTAATGTTAGATATTTAGTTTGACAAATGTCCAATGCCGGTGGACGTTTACTTGAATAATGACCAGCGGACATTGAACTGTAGTACTACATTGGAAAATAAAAATATATGATACTACATTGAAAAAACCACTATGTTTCAATGCTATTTAGGAAATTCTCATGTATAAAATTATATTTCAATGTAATGTTTTATATATATATATATATATATATATATATATATATATATTTATATTTATATATATTTTGGTTCAGGTGAGAATGCAATCTAATGAAAGAAATAAGAATGAATCTGGTGCATTAGATTGGGAGATCTAAGGGGTAGGATTGCATCAAAATTAGGTGCACCAAGATGGTTTGAAAATGCATCATGTCGAAATGCACCATAATCCTTTGAAAATGCACTATTTCAAAATTTGAGTGCAGAATGCAATCTGAGACGCACGATGCATCAGATCCAAAGGCCAGATTTTATTCTTATTTCTTTCACCAAGGTGCATTCTCACTTGAACCAGCCCTTATATATATATATATATATATATATATATATATATATATTTCCATCATCTCCGATGGAGCCAAAATTTCACCATTTTTTGGCTTTGCGGTGTGATGGAATAAATCAAAATGGATCTCTAAACTATCTGCTCTTCTTTAATTAATGAAGTAGCAGTTAGTCAAGCAATGCAACTTTCGACGTTGAGCCGGGGGTCTCTTTGGAAACAGTCTCTCTACTTTCGAGTAGGGGCAAGGTCTGCGTACACACACCCTCCCCAGACCCTACTCTTGTGGGATTTAACTGGGTTGTTGTTGTTGTGTATATATATATATATATATATATATATATGTTCTGGTGAGAATGCAATCTTAGAAGAGAAATGAGAATGTATCTGATGCTTTAGATTGTGAGATCTAAGGGTCAAGATTTCATCAAAACTAGATGCACCAAAATGGTTTGAAAATGCATCACGTCGAAATGCACCAAAATCCTTCGAAAATGCACTATCTCAAAATCTGAGCGCAGGATGCAATCTGAGCCGCACGATGCATCAGATCCGACGGCTAAATTTTATTCTCATTTATCTCCACAAGGTGCATTCTGTCCCCTATATACATATATATATATATATATATATATATATATATATATATAAATATATATATATATATATATATATATATATATATATATATATATATATATATATATATATATATATATAAAACAACAACAACAACCAAGTTGAATCTCATTACAGTAGGGTCTGGGAGGGTGTGTGTACGCAGACCTTGTCCCTACTCGGAAGTAGGGAGGCTGTTTCCAAGAGACCCCCGGCTCCAACCTGCACAAAAAATATGATAGGGCAAAATAGAACACAGATAAAACACCAAGTACAATGGAATGAAAGTCCTGCAAGCAAAAGCAAAGGATTCCAACCAAACAAAACACACTATAAAAAAACCTCTAAAGCACTGGGTCCCTAACTAGCTATTCTGATACTAATTCTCCAAAGGTTCCTATCTAAAGCCATATCCTCAGTCAGGGTGAGAAGTCCTAAATCCTTCCTAATCACCTCCTTCCAATTCTTCCTAAGTCTACCCCTTCCCCTACTTCCCCCGACGATCGTAATCCTCTCGCATCTCCGTACAGGGGCATCAGCATTCCGCCGTCTCACATGACCAAACCATCTCAACCTTGCTTCCCGCAGCTTATCTTCCACCGGCGCCATGCCTACGTGACGTCGGATAACTTTGTTCGAAATCCTATCCATCCTTGTCTTCCCACACATCCATCATAACATCCGCATCTCTGCCGCTTGCAGACGACGCGCATGAGTCCTCTTAACTGCCCAACACTCTGCCCCATATAACATAGCAAATTTGACCACGGACCGGTAGAACTTACCTTTCATCTTGGGCAAAATCTTCGGATCACACAACACCCCTGAAGCCAACTGCCATTTGGCCCAAGCCACTCCAACACGATGCCCAACATCCCAGTCTAACTCCCCATCAGCCTGAACTACCGAGCCAAGATACCGAAACTTGTCTACCTTAGGCACTAGGTGAGAGTCAATCATAACTTCCACTTCTGATTCCGTTTCCCGACCGCTGAAATGACATTCCATGTATTCAGTCTTGTTCCTACTTATTCTGAATCCTTTGGTCTCAAGGGCAAGGCGCCATTGTTCCAATTTATCGTTAAGTCCCTCACGCGTGTCGTCGATAAGCACAATTTCATCCGCAAAAAGCATGCACCTTGGGACGGACCCCTTCTTGGACACCTTGTGTCAGGACGTCCATCACCAAGGCGAACAAAAAAGGGCTAAGGGCAGACCCTAAGTGCAACCCCATCCCTACCGAGAATGACTCAGAGTCGCCCTGTGAGAATGCGATCTTATGAAAGAAATAAGAATGAATATGGTGTTTTAGATTGTGAGATCTAAGGGTCAGATTGCATCAAAATTAGGTGCACCAAAATGGTTTGAAAATGCATCATGTCGAAGTACATCAAAATCCTTTGAGAATGCACTATCTCAAAATCTGAGTGCAGGATGCAATCTGAGCCGCATGATGCATCAGATCCAAAGGCTACATTTTATTTTTATTTCTTTCACCAAGGTGCATTCTCACCTGAACCGGCATATATATATATATATATATATATATATATATATATATAATATGAGACATGATATTTTTTATGGTCGATACGATAATTTAATAAGAAGTTAAAAATAAATAATTTCGGAAAATGACTAAAGACTTTTCAACTTATTAATATTAAAAAAATTATAATGTAAAAGTAGACTCTCTTTAGTATTATTATTTATTAAAAGTAGTACTCCGTAATAAAGTTTATATAGGGAGTAACTTCTTTTACAATTTAATTGTACTCTCATGTCCCGAAAAACTTTTCCGATTTTGACTTTTGGGAAGAGAATATATAGAGGTTTGATCATGACGAAACAACGACAACTGACATAAGTTGGGCTCGAAAAATATTAAAATGGGTAGAGCGTAAAATGTAGTTAAGATGCGTTTGGTTAGATTTAAGAAAAGTAAGGGTGATTGTGTCCATTTAGACGAAATCAAAATGTTTTATAAATGAATAAGAAGTGATAGTTAAAATATTTTAAAGGATGAAAAAATTATATTTATAGACTAAAATATTACAAAGTACATTGGATATACAAAGAGTAAAATCATTTTTTAAATAATACTTTCCAAAATAATTTTTTTTAAATCCTTTTTATTACGTAATACTCCGTACATAACATTAACTTTACTTTGAATTTAATTAACGATTAAAATTTGTCCAGTTTGGTATTAATAATTTATTTGGTTTAAAGAATTTGAAAGGTAACTCAAAAGAAAAAAAGATGGAGAATTATTTTTCGTATTTGGATATATAAAACGTGAAAAGAAAAAAATGAGTAAAAATTGATTAAGAAAAAAGAAGGCAAATTACTTTTAGGGATATGTTAGGAGTACACCAAAGGTGTATCACAAATGTACACCACCCTACCTCTCCACCATTCATTTTATTTTGTTTTTATTTTTTACCTTTTTTAAATTTTTCTTGTCTTTTTTGTGTGGTGGTAGAGGAGGTGTGGGATATTTGGGGTATACTTTTGGTGTAACCCTATCATTTTCCTTACTTTTATTTTGGCAAGAAAAATTAAAGTAGAAATTATTATTTTTCTTAGAACCAAACATAAGGATAAAATTGGACAAAGATGTATTGTAATTGGGTCGGGGCTCCAGGTCAAGAGTGCGGAGCGCTACGTCAGGAAGGGTTTGGGCGATCCACTGACGAATTGAGCTCTACTCCTCGCCGCAGCACCCTTCTCATCACCATCAGCTTCTTCTCCTTCTTCTTCTTCTTCATCCAACAGAACTTTTAAACAGCTCCCAAAGAGGTAATCACATGCTCTTCGTTTGTGCATCGCAGAACAAAAGTTCGGATCTTTTTTGCTTAGTTTTTCGAATTTTTATTTTAAGAACACATCCTGATATTTCTTCTGTTCTAGGAATATATGTTTAAATTCAATCTTTATGAATGTAATGATTATGCTTTATGATGCAAGAGGTTAAAATTAGTGTGCTCTGTAATTTTTTATAAAAATTAGCCCAAACGCATAAACACAAGGAACCCTAATTGTCTCTCCCAATAGCTCATCAACTCATTGCAATCTGAGTGTCCAACCCGGTCCATTTCTGCAGTTTTGTGTGTTCGAGTGCTTCCTAGTGAAAGATGCAGCACGATGAGGTCATATGGCAAGTTATCAGACACAATCACTGCAGCTTCATGGCAAAGTTAGTTTGTTTTTTGAGTGTTTCTCTTCTATTTTGTTTTATGTAGATTTTGTTTTTTTCTCTCTTCAATTACTTACCCAAGTAATTTTATCTAGGATTGACACCGGAATATTTTGCCGGAATCCATATAATGTCACCGGCATTTGTAACCGGAGCTCGTGCCCTCTCGCTAATAGTCGCTATGCTACAATAAGGGAACACGATGGTAAAGAAAAATGAATCTCGCTACTTTGATATTCTTTTTCATCAGCTCTCAAGTTTTAACTATGTTTGAGAACCAAATTACTTGAACTGCTCTAACTTTAAATAGTTTAGCCCTTTATTATTATTATTATTATTATTATTATTATTATTATCATTATCATTATCCATTTCTTGAGAAAAATTGCATTTTTTGTTTGCTTGACCAATGATCATGTTATTTGCTGTCTGTATAGCTCTCACATTAGGCTTAAGTGAAACTATTTGATTTATGAGATTTGCTATAATGTAAGCATCAGCTGATTGGGCATTTTCTTTTCTAGTAATGATTATTATACGCAGCATAAAGTTTCATTTTAGTGGCACCTGACAATCATCTTTAGAAGTCAAATATCATGGGGCATGTAGCCGAAACTTGTTAACAAACTCTATTACTTGATTTTTTTGAGAACTATTGCTGTCAGGGCCAGAATTAAATTTTTATGTTCTTTTTCAAATTATTAATATTTTATTTTATTTTAATTAACTGTTAACAAATTATCTTATCTTGTTCCCAGGGGTGTTCTATCTTTACATGAAAACAATAGAAAGGGCTCACATGCCAAACAAGTTGTGGGAAAGAGTTAAGCTGCCCAGGAATTATATGCAGGCTCTTGAAATAATTGATAAACATTTGGTAATTGGAATACATGATTTTGAGTGCATTTCTTAACTGAAACTAAACTTTTAATTTACTATGTATTTACTCTCTTTTTCTTCTTCCACATTGCTTTCCCATCTACAACAGATGTACTGGCCAAAGCTTCTTGTACACAAGACAAAACAAAGATTCACTAAGTTGGTTTATATGCGAATAAGGATGAGGAAACTTGCTTTAAAAACTCGGTTAGAAACCTTTTCCCTCTGTTTGAATTTGTGGATGGTTATGTTTTTGTGTGTATGGATTCATTTTGCATGATTATCCAAGTCACTAGTAAAAGGCAGGCTTCTATCAGCTTTACTTTATGGATATCCATTATTCGGCAAATAGCCCGGCATTTTCTCCTTATTTGTTAGTATTGATTAGAGTGCTAGAAAGTAAAAATGCTTCAATCAGCTGCCATAGTTTCTTCTTTACATCTCCTAAAGCATTGCTGCATAAAGTGAGGTGATTCATCGGAAAATGCCTGCATAAAAGTGCTTCTGATGTGAGAAGTAGCTCCACTAGAGTCACTTCGCAAACTAATTATTCTATTTCAATATTTCACTGCCTTCCCTTTTTATTGTCGGTGTTTTTTTAAAATATTTTTTCTAGTGACTTCATTATCCCAGAAAAAAAGTTGAAATTTTGATTTTTGTGCTGGTGACTCTATTTTTCTTGATTTTTCTGCTCAGTCATGCTATCTTCATCATAACAATCTTTTCCCAAAGTTGAATTTTGATTGACTAGAAAAGTTATCAGTTACATTCAATGTTAGAACCTTTCTGACTGAGTATTTGAGTTATGAGTTACAGTAACTGATTCACATGAGATTAAAAATAGATTCTAGTTCCTTTTCGTGTGAAAATATTTAGTGCCCTATTCCCTCTTTATAGTATAATACTATCATGATTTAAAATGCGGGAATGAGATGCTCCTTGATGCTCGCCTCACTTTGATATGTTCAAAAATAGCACACAAGCGTCCTACTTCCTCTGGCGAATGCCTTGAGGCATGTAGTGAAGCACTAATGAAGCCTCATAATTATTTTTTAAAAAAATCTGCTGTTTGGGTATGTCATTTCATTAATATCACAAAATATGACCTTAAGTCTGTACAACAGCCTCCTAAACTCCCAATCTTTCTTCTGCTACAACAACTCACGCTTTCCAGACTCGCAAGCCTTGCAATTTTCAATCACAAATAAATAATGAACTCTCTTCTCTTGAAGGTTATGTTTCTTTTTCTCTCTCGCACCATCTTCTCTCCGCTCCTTTGTTTCTATAAATTTGATTATTTTGGACGGATTAGAACATAGAAGCATCTCACTTTCAGACTGTTTTATAAATGAATCACACTAGCTCTCTATCTATCTATCTATCTATCTATCTCCTTTTTTAAAATTACATTTAAGTAGTATAAAGTCTGAGCCGTACAACTTATACACTTTGAGGCTTACACCTCATCCCATTTAAAAAAGTGCGTCAAGGCTTGAAACTGCCTCTTTAAGCTCTGGGTACTATGACTTACGTGCATCTTTTGGCATTGGTCTCTAGAGAAAAGATAATGACCACACCTAGAAAAGAGATCAAGAGAGAGGCTCGTAGAGAGAAAAAGGCCGAAACGGCAGCCGTGCTGGATAAGGTAGTACATTTTCAGTTTTTTCTTGTTCATCGTCTTATTCCACGTGCTTAACATCTTTGTATATCTTTACTGATGCCATGGACTGTTCTGCAGAGTATTGAAAATGAGCTGCTGGAACGGCTAAATAGGGGAGTTTATCCTGGCGAGATTATCAATGCTATCCCTATTGATAAGTACAATGCAATACTAGACAAAGAAGTCGTTGACAATAAAGAAGTGGTAATTCTAGCAACGCCCACACATATAATCTTATTAACCGTTCTGCTGTCCTACTCGTTTTGGCACCTGCCCATGAGCCTCTCTTCTTCTTTTTTTTTAATGTTCATTTTGTGTGTGTGTGTGTGTGTTGGGGAGAAGCTAATATGTTGTTGATTTACACTGTTTGATTGGTCGCACTTTTCATTTTTCTGTCAAAAAATGGATTTAATCAGGAATATGAGGTGGAGTATGTTGAAGGATATGAAGATCTTGAAGAGGAGGATGATATAGAAGACTTTGGTGGGTTAGCAGTTAAAGATGATGATGACGATGATGAAGATGATGATGATGATGGTAAAGCAACTTAATGATTGTTAACATGGTCTTCCTTTTAGGAATGCTATTTAGTGCGTTGAATAGTGTGCATATTCTAAGCGAGTTGTTAATTTCATAGATGAAGAGGCTGTTGCAGTTCATGAAAGAGGGGTTAAAAAGCATAGACCAGGTTCAAGAAAGCATAAGAGGGATGAACCAAGTGCCAATTCTAAGAGGAAAAGAGAAGTTCTTTATGAGGTAAAAAAACTTACTCATTAATGCAATCCTGCCCCTTTTTTTACGCATTCATCTCACCTGTTCCTTTTTTTACCCCTGCTAGGTTGAACATGATGATGCAAGTGAAAGACAAACTGCAGTCATATGAGAGCGCGTTTTTTGTCTTTCCTTTGTGCTTTGGGATATGGTTAGAAGAGCTGTGAAAACGTGCATTTGGTCATTTTGGTTTTGCTGCAGATTCGGCAATATATGGCCTATATTTGTCCTTCCTGTTTTAGTTTATGTATTCTTACATATATAGACTTGATTCTTAATTACTTTTGTTGTTCGCTCGGATTGTAATTTTTAACAAATTTACTGGTTTACTCTTCCCCTTCTGCTTGTTATTTTGCTGATGGTTTATGACCTTTTAATTTTATTTTAGGGGTAAGAATGTAAGATGTGCACACCCAAATCCTCACAGATCATTTTTTAAGGTATTCTTGTTGTATTTTTTTATTGTATGCAAAATTTATTGTTCCGTGGCCTATGAAACACTTATTTTTCCTCAAACGCTTTTGCTCACATTAAAAAAAAAGTAATTCTACTTGGTCGTCATGGTTGAACTGAAGCTTACCAGTGTTGTAAACATTGTTTTATGAAGTCAAGATTTGAGGCAAATTATGCTAATTCATAACATGGCTCAGTTACAAAATTTGTACAACTTTGTCATTTAAAATTCTACTCCGTAGAATTTAAAATTTTGAATCGAAATGTAAAAATTGAAATTAAATGTTATTTTTCAAGTACAGAGTACTACCTTATGTAAGATCAAATGTCAGCTGCATTGTTGAACAATTTAACAATTGATATAAAAAATAGTATGAAAGGGAAAACCCCCTAAAATGAACACAAACACCTCGTGTATTCTCCTAAAATCTCAGTGTGTTTGTAAATTTAATTTATTTTTTACTCTGTTCCTTTCTATATTTTACAGAACTAGAATATAAAAATTATATACTACGTAATTTTTTGAGGTAAAGATAGTACTCCCAAACTGTAGATTTTTAATTTTTTTAAATAAATCTTAAAAAAAATTGAATGAATTTTTATTTGTTAGTGAATCTCAGAAATTCAATGTGAACTTAAAGGCTAATGTGTTTTAAATACTTCGTTTCATATTTATCTTGCTAGTGTTATCGAACATTATAATTTTAATAATGTGTGGAAAAATAATATCCAAACAATGAACTAATAAAGCATAGAAATGTGGATTAAGAGGATGTTTGTAAGTGCAATATTTTTAAGAATTTAGTTTCTAGTTAGGTTGGTAGTCATTTTATTTTGTTTGACATGTCAACTTCTCTTGTTCTCTTCCGCCATTTTGTAGAGAGAACACCATTTTGTAGAAGTAGATATAAGGTGTTTTTGCTTTGAACTTTTGTGAAAATTAGTTTATCTACAAGTTCATCAATCTCAAACATCTTCTAGATTCAATAGTAAGGAACTTGAATTGGACTCAAATTTTAAGATTTGTGTTGATAAGAATAATTTTGGCCCAGGTTCTGTGAGTTTGGTTTTTATATTTAATTTTTTAAATATAAATTTTGGATATCCATAGATATCCCAAATTTTAATATTTTATTCGTTATCCGATCCATTTTTTGGATATATGATCCAAAATACCCGAAAGCCAAAACATCAGAATATATGCCCAGTTTTTATATTATCTCGTATAATGAACAATTACTTCAAACTGAATTTTTGGACACCCCTATTTTCACGCACTCAAGCGCATCCTCTGTTGTACCCAAGGTACTATATCTCAGAGATCTTCGATCTTCAGATCTAGGAATTTACAATTACACTTTGAGCAAACTATGTTCATGTCCTCTAGTCTACTTGCATGTTAGATGCTCTTTTTGGGACCCAAATCTTCTCTCTTAGTCCAAGAAGTAGCTCCTTTTTTATGATGAGGTAATGACTGACTCCATGACAATTCATCGTGTTCCAATGAAATAGTAGCTTGCCGATGTTTTAACCAAATCTTTACCCACTTCGTAACATTATCACCATCACCATTTTAACCATCGTCACTATTCAATTGTCCCTAAAATAAATGTTAGTCACCAATACAGAGTCAGCATAAAGTATTAAAATAATAAGTTTATTATTTATTTTCCTTTTTAATTTTGTAATATTTCATAATTATGACTTTTTGTTAATTGAGATAACATTAGAATATTTATGTGAATTTTTTGCTTACCTAAGATTAACAAAAAACATTACTCATTTTTCATATCTTTGGTAAATGGATTAGTTTCTTGCAAATTATGAACTAAATGTTTGTACAATTGATATTATTTAAAAAAGATTACAAAAATAATAATAATAATGAGTATGAGTGACAAAAATATTATTATAGATGTGGTTCGTATAAAAAGAGTTTAACATATGAAGAAATGAAAAGAGATAATTAAATCAAATGAAATACGGAGTATGAATTATTTTAATAAAAATTGAAAAATTTAAAAATGTAATAATTATTTCAATTTTCTTATTACTTCCATTTTTTTAATTTTACTAATGTTTTCCAACTTTTTCCAATTTCCCGACTTCTTACAAATATTTCTAACTCTTGCTAGATTTTTTAATTTCTTCCATTTTGTTCTCACTCTTCTAGTTTTCTCTAAGGAAGGTAATGTGGGAGCTGAACCTACAACAACACCAATCCAGTTGAATCATCCAAGAGTAAAGTTTGGGAAATGTGTATCTAAGACTATGTACGCAAACCTTAGCCCCACTCGAAAGCAGACTGTTTTCAATGAAACTCCTGACTCAAGCATCACAGGTATTCACGTTTGCAGTCGGAATCTTATGTTTAAAATATAAAATGACGGTTTTCATTATTGATGATGAGCATTGAATGTTACATTTGCGTCATTTTGAACATAACGTTGGAGATTAGTCTTAAGGTTTTAAAAAGCTATCGAATACGCATTTTGAAAATTAATTTACTATTAAAATTTTATCTAAATTACTAATGTTGATCCAAAACATTTAAACGAGTCTTTAATCAATTGCTATCACACTATTAAAAGAAAAGAAAACAGTCATTTGCTTTAACCATTACCCAAAGCAAAGAAATAGAGTATTTTGGCCCCCTTATCAGACTTCCCGTACGAAGCCCAATTCATCTTCGTCGCGTTGCCATTTCTGAACAGTATCGGCTGACAGAGAGAGAGAGAGACATACGGTTTCCGTTTTCAACTCGACGCCTGCCTGAGAAGCCAAATGGACGAAGCGATCGCCGAGAAGAGAGAAACTGAGAACAGAAACGAAATCGCTCAGACGCCGGCCTCCCTGACGGAGAGAGATGCCGAAGATCGGGATCGCATCGCCCAAGATCTCAAAGCCGGCCTTCATCCCCTCAAGGTCCTCATTTTATTCATCTGAATCCTCCTATAATCTCTTAGGTTTCATGATTTTGCTTTGAAATTACCGATTTCGTTCCTACAGATTATTACTGAATTTCTTCGATTATTTTTTCTGACGGATATACAAATGGATACGTATATGCTTGACTAGTTGCTAGTCCGTATGTGTTAATCGGGAAGAATACACCACGTTTCTGTTTTGATTTGATAAGGGCTGCCTTCTTGGTGCTGTGAAGTTGTGGAGGATACAAAGAGATGTTGGGAACTTTTAGGGTTATACAGATACTTTCATATATACAATGACTACCGCTCTTTCTTGACTTCTAATAAGATCATATGCAGTACCTGGTCAAAGACATGAAAGTTTGAATTGAAGATGAACTTCCTTTCTTGCTTGAAGAAAATTCCTAGAGTCTTTTAGTTCTTTGAGCTATGGTGGATAGATAAAGAAGTTGTTATGGGCACTGAGCAGTAAATTCGCTTCAATGTGTCCAGTGCTTCTCAAAGGAGAATGATACGTTGTGTTATTGTTCTACCCATTGCATTGTGTTATTATTGTACCCATTTCATTTCCTTGTATACATTGTGTTTCCTTCATGCTTATAGGCTGTTCATCTTGCTTCTTTGGTTGTGCAGAACAAATTTGTTTTTTGGTATACTCGCCGGACTCCAGGAGTTCGGACGCAAGCATCATATGAAGATAACATAAAGAAAATAATGGATTTCAGTACAGTAAGTTAGTTTATATATGCTGTCTAGATTCTTCTGATGAATTGATAACTCCGTTTTTTAGAGAAACAAAACCCCGAGAAGAGAGACAAAAGGTTTACAATCTAGGATTGATTATATAGTTGTTTTATTCTTTTTCCTGATAGGTTGAAGCGTTTTGGGTCTGCTACTGCCATTTGGCTCGTCCATCAACTTTGCCAAGTCCAACTGATTTGCATCTTTTCAAAGAAGGGATTCGTCCTCTCTGGGAGGTAATTCATTGTTAAACTAATTATTCTTCCTTTACCTTGTTTAAAAAAAACACATCAACCACTTTTATATCCACATTGCTGATTATAAATAGTATTAGTGTAGGATGCTGCCAATTTCAATGGCGGTAAATGGATCATTCGATTTAAAAAGCCTGTATCTGGACGCTTTTGGGAGGACTTGGTAAGAGACTACCACATTTAGATTTCTCTTTTATTATATGGCATACAAATGGTTGCCCTCGTGTTGGAAACATGGTACACATGCACATGCTTTAGTTATGAGTATGATTTTTTCATGGTGACCAACTTAATTTTGGAATTGTACGAAGGTTCTGGCGTTGGTTGGTGATCAACTTGATTATGGTGAGAACATATGTGGTGTAGTACTTAGCATTCGCTTCAATGAAGACATTTTGAGTGTGTGGAACCGCAATGCATCGGACCATCAGGTTACTTGCTCACCACTTTTCAGTCAAATTCAAAATATTTACCCACCTAAAGATCTAATATGCTACTGTTGTTGCCTTTGTATTTCCCAGGCTGTAATGGCACTGAGAGACTCAATCAAACGACACTTGCAGCTCCCTGGTGGATATGTCATGGAATACAAACCACACGATGCTTCTTTGCGTGACAACTCGTCGTATCGGAACACTTGGCTGAGAGGCTAAAACCCACCTGTCGCTTGCTTCCAGATATAAGGTGATGGTTTTTACTAGGGGGGTTATCATGATGACCATAAGCAAACCGTGTTGTCGAACAATGACACAATCCGTGTAATGAAATCCACTGTCCAAATACCATTAAGTTTCTAATGTTGGGACCAATCTTTTGGTGGCTACTGGCTATGATATATTCTAGTAAGTTTCAAACTTTCGATCTTTGTATGCTTCATGTTTTCTTGAAACATTTCATCCATGGAAAGCTTTAGTTCCCCGAAAACAGAAAACAGACCAAACATATCCCACTCAAGAGTGTTAAGTTGGAGGAAAGAAATATTTGTCCCACCATTTTAATTCTTCTTATTTATCTGCTTTTAAACCCACCCTACATCTTTCCTCGTTCTCTCATTTCCTTTCCACCCAATCTCTTTTCTTTGTCTTTCTTCCTCTACATTCCAGCAAGGCTGGTGATTCGGTGAGGATAGTAAAAGATGGGGTAGAGTTTAGGACCATAGAGGTATGGTAATTGGATGGAGAATGAGAAAGAGTTGGAGGGTTAGAAGGCACACAAAGTTTGGAGCCAAAAAAACTAGAAAAATGAAAAAAAGTGTTGAATATGGTAAAAAAATTGTTGATTATAGGCGAAAAAAGTGTTGAGATCAAAAAATCAAAGAGAATATTTAAGATTGGGAATGGGAATTGGGACGCTAGATAGATAAAATTTGGAGTTGATTATGTGCACTACTCGGACTCATGTTACTCATTCTAACATGGCCGTTTTGAGAGAAATAGCATACTGGGAGAATGCAATGATATCTTTTTAATTAGAATGGATGTTTTGTGTTAAGCTTGACAATAATTTCAATGGAATGGCATATTGTGTGAACAAAATATTGCTACTAGTAATATAAATAATACTACGTACTACTCTTTTATAATGATAATAAGGCCAAATAGCTCTAGTGTTCCATGGAGTTTTTAAAATTGGCACTAAAACCTCATCGGTTTTTTAAATTTATTTCTAAATTCTCCATGGTTTCAAAATGTTGCATCCATACTCCCTTTGATCATTTTCCCATCATTTTCAAGTAGGGGGGGGTATTGGTGCCTAATTTCTAAATCATATGCGGTACTCGTGCTCATTTATTATTTTTGTTTATTATTTGATTTTTTTCCTTCTTTAACTCTTTTTTATCTTAAATTAAACATTTTCGTTTTTATTTTTTAGAATAATTTTTTTGGTAATTTCAAATAGAAAATAAGAATAAAAAACAAAAATAAAAATTTGGAAAAGCAAAATGAAAAAAATTGAAAAATGCAATAAGAGTCTTATACAAGTAGAAATTTTTAGAACGCCTAAAAAAGTTCATAGAATTGGGAAGTCCAAAAAAGATTTTTCTTTGCTTTATTTTATTTCTTAATTTATTCCTCATTTTTTAAAGTTCTAAAAAATTTTTTTTATTTTTTTTATTTCGGAAAACAAAAAACAAAAAATTATAAATTTGAGACAAACAAATGCAATATAAGTTAATAATTTTGTTTTCAAACAAAAATAATTTTAAATTTTAAGAACTCTATAAAAACAATTTTAAAAAGAATAAAAAATCATTGATTAATAAAAGAAACAAATAAAGGAAACAAAGAGGGAAAAACAAAAAATAAACGAAAAATAAGAAATGAGCACCAGTGTCCCTTGTGGCCGGAAAATAATCAGAGGGGTATGGGTGTAATGTTTTGAAATTACGGAGACTTTAGAAATGAGTTTTGAAAGCAGAGGAGTATTGGTGCCTATTTTCTAAACCATAGAGGGGTACTGTTACTATTTGGCCATGATAATAATAATAGTAAAGCGTATACTAATGTAACAAACAAATTCATACATGGAACAATTTAATGAATGTGATTACAATGCTGTCTACTTGAGGAGGAAAAACAACCAAAATGTTTAAACAGATGCCTGAAGCCCAATAATGCCTGCCACAACATAAATATGCATTAAAACGAACCCACTTTAGTACTCAGCTTTTACCAAAAAGATAACACAAGAACACATCGTTGTGACACACAAAGAGGAAAACAAGATATGGCCTAAAAACATCATAATCCAAAATCTAAATCTCGCCGAAAGGGGAAAAAAGAACACTAAAAAACACAACTAATAAATGCACAAACAGAATGTCGGCTCACAAACATGAAACCGAACACCCGAATGCCCAAAAGGCCCAATTACAATCTCATGCCCAAGCCTTGGTCAATGTCAAGACTATGACCCGCTATGATTCCTAAACCATAGTGGGCAGCCTACTATATATAATATAAATGTTTGACACTAAAAATTTTGCAGACATGCAAAAAACAATGGGTGTGACATATAACGACTCTCTATATATGTCTGTGAAACACTTGTTAAACTTGGTGTGACTCTAGCATGACTCGAATGATATCGTAGCATGTTTTTAATAGGAAGGGATTTCAGCTCTCACATTTAAGAGAGCCCTAGATGGATCATCCTATTAGCTCTTACACATTCTTATTCCTCTTAGCTCTAGAGACATTCCACAACAATGGCTTCAAAAGCCTCTTTGTACAAGTAAATGACTACATGAATGGCTAAGCCTAAAAAAGGCCATTACCTTGGGCCTTAAGAATCGTGTGTTTGATTCTTAGAACGTGTTGATTCAATTCCAACAATTGTTACCATTGATTTCTCGCCATGGACGATTGAATCAAACATCACGAGTCATGACAAAGCTTCGTTTGAGTCATTAATCACTTAATTGTGATATACTCCGTATAATATACGGAGTAACTCGTAGTTAAAAGACATATATTGGACATCGGTGGAATGAAGATGAGAATTGAATTACCACAACCAATTCTTGCACCTGCATTCCCAGTTGTCTTACTAAGCTCATGCCCACCTAAAGAAAAAACATTGTATTAATTGCTACAAAAATGCAAGAAAGCCACCCACTAGGTTTGCTACCAAGAGTTTACATATTTGTCTGCATATATATATGTGAAAGACTTAGTGTCAAACTCTTGGTGTCAAGCCTAATGTGACCCTAACGTGACTCAAATTAGTAATCACAATCATAGTAGGAGCATGCTACGTGCCCCCACTGTTAACATCGCAGCTGAAATTCTCACAAGCAGTAGAGACAGTGTTGATGTCTATGGACACATGCAGTGCCCGTGAGTCCTCTGAGGACAAAATTCACAGACATTGTCACCCGTGGGGGCACGGAAGCTAATTCCATCATAGGGTCATTCAAAGAGGAGGGCTTTCATAACAAGCACACATTCAAGAAACATGGATACCTCTTCCTAGATCATCTGGATCAGCATGCACAACTACTGCTCTTCCCAAGATAGAGTTAGCCCCACTTAGTGGAATCTATTGATTAGAAAGGAAAGTGGAACGAGTGAATGTCATATTTATAGCCATATGTCCTGCCAAAATGGGTTCTTGGTCTCTAGGCACGGTGCTTGACCAAAAACACCAATGCAGGGAACCCGGAGTCTCGGGTTTGTTTGGAATCCGGAAAATGTATATATTTCTATCATATACAGAAATGTAAATAAATATATGCTAGTATGTAAAATTTTAAAAAGCTCGTTTGATAAAAACAACTATTAGTCTATTACCACCAGCATATCGTGAATATAGAGATGCTAATAAGATTTTTTACCAACATATCCAGAACTGAAACCTCAGCAACCCCTGCATTCCCAAGAAAACACATTAAGTTCAGTGAAGAGGCAGTTTTTAAAATATTGCATTAAAATCCGACCATACCATCTGGGCCAGCAACAATGTTACCCAAATCGCCAGCATGCCGCTCTTCATGATTGGGAGCTCCATGGCTCTTTCCATGGGGATTAAAGTGAGGTCCTGAATGCCCAAAACATTAGGTCCCCTACCCTTCTCCATAACATAACTTTGTAAAACCAACACAGTGAACACACCAACAACAACAATAAAACCCAGTATATTCCTAACTCTCTTGGGTGTGGGACTCCACTAATAATCCAAAGAGGGTTCCAATCGAAAGCAAAAAATGAAAGGGAATTTAAGGTGTGTATCAAGGAAACAACTCAACCAAAGCTCAAACTTGTGGTTGTAGGCCCAATGGCCCATAGAAAATATTTTATATTCTAACATTGTCATTCTGATTTAGCCTATTATTTATCCAAACCCAAAACATTGTGGGTAAAGACTATCCTCACTCAAGTGGCAATAGAGTAAAGGGCTTGTTTGGCAACAATTAGTTTTACACTATGTTTGGTTCAAGGAATTTGGTAGAAAAAGAAAAGAAAATGGTTTTCCTTCATTTCCTCACCAAAATGGGAGGAATTTGGTTTTCCTTCTTCTTAGTACATTTTGCCTTCTTATTTTCTTTTCCTTCCATTTTTCCTTTCTGTTTCTCTAACCAAACAAGAAAAATGTTTTCACTCTCATTTTCTTTTCCTTTCCCTCTCAAATTCCTTGAACCAAACATATTGTTAGTGTTTTGAAAGAAAACAAAAACTATCGAACTACATCGTTGAGCTTTTTCAAAGTTAATCTGCACCATTTCAAATTCATCCAAAATGCAAATGTTAAAATTTAAGCAAATTTTACAACCAAATGGCTAAGAAGGGGACATAAGAGTATAAGTTTTGTGTGGAATTTCTTGAACAAATTGTTCCCAAAGACCTAATTCCAATTGCACATTCAAACGCACTCTAACAGAACCGGGAGAGACTGACCGGTGGAATTGCAGCCGTTGGTGGTGTCACCCAAAGCATGAATATGGAAACCGTGAGATCCTGGACTCAATCCTGTTATTTTCCCTCTCACGTAGGTTGACCCTGTCTCACAAACACTACACCGGATTACAAGAACATAATGAAATCAAAAAATCAGTAACAATGAAATCTCCACCACTGTGTGAGAGAGGAATGGAGAGAGCACCATTGGATTGCTGGATAAATTGTAGAGTGCCTTTGACGTTTTGGTCGCCGGAAATGATGGCCACCGCTTTCAGGCCGCCCATTACCACCCTCCTCCGACTTACAATTGTTTTCCCCCCGTAGGAAAATAAGTAGAATAATGGAAATTTGTATTGACATTTTGATGACAATAAAGGTAGTTACACCACTTTTTTGTCTACTAAAATTTTGTATTGACATTTGGGTCATGCTACACTTACACCACAAATTGTACCTCATTTGTACACTGCAGTTATCTACAAACATTTTGATGGTTTACATTGACACAAGTGTTTGTGCGTTAACAAAAATTTACACAGACACAAAGTGTTGGTGCATTAACAAAAATTAGTTTTACACCAACACAAAGTGTCGGTGCAAACCTGCGGGGTACAAAGTGGGGTACAAAAGTTGGGGTACAAATAGCTTTATCCTTGACATTTTGATGACTCATAATGGGAAAAATTTTGCATTGACATTTTATAATTTATATAGTGTATGTTATCAAAGTGTCTGTGTAAAGTATTCAGCCACAAAATAGAATACACATAACATGCTTCAAATAAGTAACACTATCTTTTAAAAATAATGAAAAAAGGTATATTGGTGCTTACTAAGGGCATGGACAAAAGTGTCATAGATTTACGAATCGGAATTGAATCAAGCGGTTGAGGATGAGTCCAAAATTCTAAATTTCCAAAGAGAGCGGGGTGAGTTGAATGCCAAACGAGTCACGTTGACCCCATTATGTCATATTATGATATTGCCTCATTTTAGAGATCATACATCACAATATTTTAAACAAAAAAATATAGTGATTCATACACCTCATATTAAATGAATAATTTTGTCTTTAAAAATATAAAAAATAAAATTTAGATGTAAGCTAGTCTTTAAGGATAAAATGTGTATTTAAGAAAAAATGAGGGAATTTGGTTGAAATAAGAGTGGAAGCTCATACCAAAATTTTGAGCACTTGAAATATCAATAACGTCGGGGGCATTTTTCCTGATTTTAATACCCCGGCGTTAAACACCGCCTCCCTCCCTCGTTAAGCCAGCGTCATTTATGAAGCGTTAAACGTTTGATGCTATTTTGAATGCTCAAAAGAGCCATTGGCAACCCCCCTCCCAATGGCTATAATATCGTTAATATTAAAAAATTCCTCTCTAGGTTCATTCTTTTTTAAAAAAGTAAATACATACCACAAACACAAATCTCTCTCAACAACTCAAGAGCTCTAAGGTCGGACCGTCAAAGAAAAGATCTTTCGCCGAGGTAGTGGCCGATAACACATTGGCTCGTCGGAACAAAGGCCTCCCTAAGTTGTGATAGGTAAGTTAAGAATTAATAGGGTAAAAGCGACTTTTTAATAGGAAAAGAGAAATGTTTCTTGGGACGGATGAAAAAAGAAAGGGAAAGGATTTTGTGGGATGGAGTGAGTATTATTTTTCTTTTAATTATCTCTACAAAATATTCGAAAAATGAGATCATCATTTTATTCAAATCTTATTACTATATTAATGTAATTTTTTTATTCAATGTAATTTTTTATTTGATGAGTTATTTTCGTTTAAATTTAATTAAATAATGATATTTTATTAATTTAATTTTAGAAGATATGTATTAAAAAATACTCCCTCCGTCCCAATTTATTTGCAACACTTCGAACGACGTGCAAAATATCATCTATTTTAAAATCACTTTAATTTTAAATTGGTAGAGTAATAAAAAGTAAAAATTACACCATTTAAAAGCATATGAAAAGCTCTACAAAACAAGATGCGACAAGAATATTTTATTTTATCAAATGGTCAACCAAAACAAGTAAACAAACAAAAATTATCGAGAGGCCAGTATAGTAAACGTGGCATTCTTTCTGGGACGGAGGGAGTATAAAAATATAGAGGTCTGAAGCTCCAGAAACTCATTTCTAATAAAATTCTGATGTAAGTTAAAACTGATGTGGCTCAAAGCTCCCAGGCTTGACTATCATTTCCAATGCTCTAGTAAATCAGATTGGAAAGGGTGAGTCAGAATTCAAAATGCTTAATTCCTTTTTGTTTTTGTCGGAAATCTAACCGCTAATACGTAATTTACAGTACCTCCGTCTAATAATTGACGGCGGTAGGTAGAGAGAGGTCAACTGCCCGGGTCGATCCACCGCACAAATCGGGCCAGACAAGTGGATGGAAGGCTACAGACAGCCGACCCGACAACTAACTCCAGCTGTGGACTCTAGGCCCATTTTTCAAAAACGGGTGGGCCCCGACACATTCTCCGGACTCCAAACATCGTATGAAATCCACTTCACATTTTTCTCCCATTATCTTCTCCTCCCTCCCTAACAAAACCGTTCCAATCTCTCTCGATTTCTCGATCCGTCTGCAAATTCAATTTCCAGAGAGAGAGAGAGAGAGAGAGATGAGGGAGATCATAAGCCTGCACATCGGCCAGGCCGGCATTCAAGTCGGCAATTCCTGCTGGGAGCTCTATTGCCTTGAACATGGAATTCAGCCCAATGGCATGATGCCTAGGTAATTACTACCTATATTTTGTTTCATCTCTTCGAAGTTCGATGTTTCCCGACATGCGATTGCATTTTATTTAGCCTGTATTGTTTGGGGAAACCTAGAATTTTGAAAATTTCTGAAAATTTTGATTTAACTGTGCTTAAGAAGGCTACAACATGGTGATTTGTTTTCCTATTTTCTTCAACAGATTGTTTTAGATGAGATCACGTTTAATAGCCTCTTAATTATGACAATTTGCTGGTTTTTATGGAATGTAGAGAATTATTAATTGCGGGTAACCTTTTTTTTAAAACTTGTTTTGCTTTGGGGTTTGGCTATTGTGGATAGGACATGATCGTGCATTATTTATATGTACATGACAGATGGTTTTCTGAAAATGATTTGTTTGGAATGAGACTCATCAATTTAATTGCTTTAATGATTTTTCTTCTTTACAAAGATTGACAATTTGACTTATTCAATAGCACACTTTTTTCTAAACAATTGATTAGAATTAAAGATGCCATTTTTTTCCACTTCAATAACTTTTGAAAATATTGACGCCATGGGCCTACCACAAAATCTTGTGTTTTCAATTTCTCTGCCCATGGGTTGTCAGCAACACATCTTATTTTTCTTATTCTGAACACTAGTAAGGAACAATTAAGGCATTAAATGATATGAATTTCTATGCGTTGAAAGCATGCAACACACACACACACACAGAGTCGGCAATATCTCTAGTTAAGAATGAGTAGATCTTTTTTGTCATATCTTTGTGTGAGGAATTATCCCTTTCCCATTTTAGTATTTGAAGAAATTTCAGATCTAGTCTCAAAGCATTTAAAACATGCTTGAAGTATACCATCAGGTTTTGGATGTTTCACATTCTTACCAAACTCGTATGTGAGGGCTTTTTTTGAACATACTGGATAAACGTGAAATAATTTCGGCATAGATGGAGATATTTGTAAAACTTTAAAAGACATGGATTGGATTTGCGATTGTTCATGAATTGCAGGTAGGAACCATGAATTTAACTGAACAAGATATTATATACTCTCCTTCCATGGCTTTGTCCCATAACAATAAGTCACACTTTCTTTATATGGCGTCCCAAAACTAAAGTCAAATTTCCATTTTTGGTATATCTAACACACTTAATCAACTATAATACCCCTATTTTTTCCTATTCCTTTTTTCTACCCACCACCATTTTATATCCCACCCTCATTACCATTCCATGTGTAGAACTAGAAGGTCAAAACCGTCAAATGCCTTTTAGAAATTGCCTTAATATGTGTGGTGTCCATTTGTGACTTTATTTATGTGAAGAAGGGAGTCTTTAGAATTTGATGGTGCATTGTTCCACCTCTATGAATGAGTAATTTGTATACTGATTGAGGAACCAACTTCTAAGTTCCAACCATGTGCATGTTGTGTGCATGCGCTAGAATTAGGCACCTTGTCATTGAAATACAAAGGAAAGGGAGTGCCAATAAAACTTGAGTGCACTTTTGTCATGATCAATTTGGAAAGCCTACTAATCCAGATCACATAAGTAAATGTTGCATCTGTTGTCGATCTTTTATAAACAATTGCTTCCTTTTCATTAACCTTGCTCTCTAACGTGTTTCAATTTTATACACATTGTGTCTAGTTGTAGTATTATTCAAACGAGATTATATGTGTCTTTTCTTGCATATGAAGTGTATGCCTTGAACTCTATCAAGCCATTGCTTATGAAGTTTATGATGATTTCTGTTTTTATTAATTTTACTTCTCCATTTGATTGCAGTGACACATCAGTTGGTGTTGCAAATGATTCTTTCAACACCTTCTTCAGTGAAACTGGTTCAGGCAAACATGTTCCTAGAGCTGTGTTTGTTGACCTCGAGCCAACTGTTGTGGATGAAGTGCGAACTGGGACATATAGGCAACTGTTTCATCCAGAGCAACTTATTTCTGGTAAGGAGGATGCTGCCAACAACTTTGCCAGGGGACATTATACAGGTACCTTTTCTCATGCTGAAGCAAAAAAATGCAATACTTAGTTTTTATGTGAATGTTACAACTTATGTTCTTCTGACAACTTGTCATGCTTTGCAGTGGGGAAAGACATTGTTGATCTGTGCCTTGATAGAGTGAGAAAATTGGCCGACAATTGCACTGGTTTGCAAGGATTCTTGGTCTTTAATGCTGTTGGTGGTGGCACAGGCTCTGGTTTAGGATCCTTGCTTCTGGAGCGTTTGTCGGTAGATTATGGAAAGAAATCAAAACTTGGATTTACCATATATCCATCTCCTCAGGTAGTGTTAGCTTTTAAAGAACATGCTTTTACATGATTATTATTATTATTATTATTATTATTATTATTATTATTGTTATTATTATGTTTTGGGAAATTGGATGAATAATTTGTATATAATAACCCTTGCCAACTGGTTGTGAAAAAAAATCTGAAATCCATATTAATTATTCCTTCCTTCCCAAAAAGCTTAACCTATTTGACTTTGTGGGTTAAGAGAAGTGTTGAAAAGTGATAAGTGTATGGTTAGAGTTCGTTTGGTTGAGAGAGATATCTTATGAGCAACATGATCATTACTAAAGTGAGTGGAAAGTGTTTTTTGGGATGTCCAAAAAGGGAAAGTGAGTCAAGTTTTTTGGGGCATAGGGAGTTAAAACAGTGTATGGAAAAGTACAAAAATTCAATTGAAAACAAAAATCAGTTTGGCCTTTTTAAAGAGGGATATGGAATTGAAAAGAATTTGAAATTATTGAAGGCTTGGATCCTTGGCGAAGGCTTTTTTTCTTTGGCATTTTCGAGGAATACTATAAATCTAGCAAGTTCTTTATCCCCTCAAATTTCAATTTATAGTCAGTTAACATTGGCCATATATTCTGAACATGCAGGTATCAACTGCTGTTGTTGAGCCATACAACAGTGTCTTATCCACACATTCCCTCCTAGAACACACAGATGTTGTTGTGCTTTTGGACAATGAAGCAATATATGACATATGCAGGCGATCCCTAGACATTGAGAGGCCAACTTACACAAACCTGAACCGTTTGATATCGCAAATCATCTCTTCATTGACAACATCTTTGAGGTTTGACGGAGCTATTAATGTTGACGTCACTGAGTTCCAGACCAACCTTGTACCTTATCCTCGTATCCATTTCATGCTTTCTTCTTACGCTCCTGTGATCTCATCTGCCAAAGCTTATCACGAACAGTTGTCTGTTCCTGAGATTACAAATGCTGTTTTTGAACCATCAAGCATGATGGCCAAGTGTGACCCAAGACACGGGAAATATATGGCTTGTTGTTTGATGTATCGTGGAGATGTTGTTCCAAAGGATGTCAATGCTGCTGTTGCTACCATTAAGACAAAAAGGACCGTTCAGTTTGTTGATTGGTAAGTTTTTCAATCCCCTGACATCTCTCTTGGAACTGTTAAAGTTTGAGAGTTAACTTTCATCTAGACGCAATTTGTTCCTTGACTATGAGTTGTGGACCCAATACATACATAGGTGCATGGGAACCAGAATTGAGTTCTAAAATTGGGTCAGAATTGAATGAATTGACAAAAGTTCTCTTCCTCTTTAGACCCAAAGACGAATGGAACATTAAATCAGGCTCAAATTACACTGTCAAGTATCAATTGTTGAATAAAAAATGGATCTTTATGGACTCTTTTCAGGTGCCCTACTGGTTTCAAGTGTGGGATCAACTATCAGCCCCCAACAGTGGTGCCCGGAGGTGATCTTGCACGGGTGCAGCGTGCAGTCTGCATGATAAGTAACAACACCGCCGTGGCTGAGGTCTTCTCCCGAATTGACCACAAATTTGACCTCATGTATAGCAAGCGCGCCTTTGTTCACTGGTATGTTGGTGAGGGTATGGAGGAGGGTGAATTCTCAGAAGCCAGAGAGGATCTAGCCGCCCTAGAGAAGGACTACGAGGAAGTTGGAGCTGAAGGCTGTGACGATGAAGAAGAGGATGGGGATGAATACTAAAATCAGCCCACAAAGTCGAAAACTGAGTGACCTGTGATTTGTTGGCTTGACAAAAATATATCTTTTCCCTTTTGTGCCCCATGTCACTATTCTTATGCATGTTGTCTTCTGTGTTCATGTGTTTTTCCAGTGGTGATTCTGCATTTGTCACGTCATTGTTTAATTCTATTCCATGAGCCATTACTATTGTTAATGTGTATTCTCTTTTCATTTGTTTCAAGAAAAGAAAATGTGTTGATGTAAATCAATCCTTTTGGAATAAATAGTCGTGTAATTTTTTATGAACCTTTTGTTGTCTATTTTTTCAAAATTGGTTCTTTAACAAAATGATATGATATGCCTTTCATGGACAAACTTCAAACGATTCTAGTATAATTTGATAATAATTGGTCTTATTGAATATTGAAAGATTCATATCTATAATAGAGATTATATGAGAGAGTTCTAATCATAGTAGAATAACTATTGTAACAATATAATAAGGAAAACAAAATGACAAGGGTAATTAAATATAAAATATATTCCTAATATCTCCCGCAAGCTGATTATTGGTAATAAGGAGTAGCTTGGAGCACGTGTACTAAAATTGAGTTGGCAGACACAATTTTGTGGGATAACCTCTAGAAGTAGAGAGTCAGATTTTCGTTGCATAACGAACGAGCTTGAAATTATGTTTGTTGAGTTTTTTTCTGGCGAGAGTGTTGATGATTAGAGCAAAGACGAGGAGTTTCTTTTTCTCCTTGTAGGTTGTTTTTTGCTTCTCTATCGCTTTACATGCTCTCGATATCTAGAAAAATCACAGACAAATGTAATTTTCCCGTTCTGCGCTCACACACATAATTTTTTGGAAGAGAGAAAAAGATAATGATTTTTTTGAGAGAAAGAGAGGGATAATGAACGACGACTGTTAGGCGCGCTCATCGAGATCGGTCGGTGGTGCCATACTGTCGGATGATCGACCGCCGTGAATATAGACCGACGGTGTACTCGGTCTTAAAGAAGAGTCTAGGTTTTTGAGAACCTTAGCTCCGATATCATAATACAATTTGATAATAATTGGTCTTATTTAATATTGAAAGATACATCCCTATTTATTGGAATTACAATTCTAATCATAATAGGAGAACAACTATGGTAACAATATAATAAACAAAACTCAATGATAAGGAAAGTAATTAAATATAACATTTATTTTCTATTATCTAATACTGTATATATTTCTAATAGACTCGATCAAAGACCATGTTGCTTGAAAAAATTTATTCTTACCTAATACTGTTAGAAAAACTGACCAACGCTAGAGGGGGGGTGAATAGCGTTTGATCGTAGAAATCGCAGGAATAAAAAATTAAGAACGTGAAACGTAAAGAGCGTAGAACGCGTAAAGGGAGCACACCAAGATTTATACTGGTTCACCACAACGTGTGACTAATCCAGTCTCCCGAGAGACTCTCTCGAGCTACACTACTTCCGTTAAGCTTACGGGTGCTTAACAAACCGTTACAACCTGAGAACTCGAGTCCCACGAGCCTCAACAACACTTGCTCGGAGATACCGCACTCCAAGACTTCAACCCGAAGGAAAATACCTTTCCTTCGTACAACCAAGGGAAACAAGCTTCCCTTAACGTGTATACAACACTAAAACACTCAAGAACAAGACTCTCCTTAAGAGTGGATATGAGTAAACTAAGAACGCTCAAGAACACAACACAAGC